AAGAAGAAGAAGAAGAAGAAAAGAAAAAGAAGAAGAGGAGAGAGGAAGGAGAAGGAGAGGAAGGAGAAGAGGAAGGGGAAGGAGAGGTAGGACAGGAAGGAGAAGTGGAAGGGGGAGAAGAAGGAGAGGAAGAAGAATGGGAAGAAGAAAGAGAGATAGGAGAGGAAGGGGAAGGAGAAGAAGAAACACAGAAAGGAGAGGAAGGAAAAGGAGAGGAAGGAGAAGAGGAAGGAGAGGAGAGGTAGGAGAAGAAGGGGAAGGAGAAGAAAGAGAGGAAGGAGAAGGGAAAGGGAAGAAGAAGAAGAAGAAGAAGAAGAAGAAGAAGAAGAAGAAGAAGAAGAAGAAGAAGAAGAAGAAAAGAAAAAGAAGAAGAGGAGAGAGGAAGGAGAAGGAGAGGAAGGAGAAGAGGAAGGGGAAGGAGAGGTAGGACAGGAAGGAGAAGTGGAAGGGGGAGAAGAAGGAGAGGAAGAAGAATGGGAAGAAGAAAGAGAGATAGGAGAGGAAGGGGAAGGAGAAGAGGAAACACAGAAAGGAGAGGAAGGAAAAGGAGAGGAAGGAGGAGAGGAAGGAGAGGAGAGGTAGGAGAAGAAGGGGAAGGAGAACAAAGAGAGGAAGGAGAGGAAGGAGAAGGGAAGGGGAAGAAGAAGAAGAGGAGGAGGAGGAGGAGGAGGAGAGAGGAAGGAGAAAGAGAGGAAGGAGAAGAGGAAGGGGAAGGAGAGGTAGGACAGGAAGGAGAAGGGGAAGGGGAAGAAGAAGGAGAGGAAGGAGAAGGAGAGGAAGGAGAAGAGGAAGGAGAAGGAGAAGAAAGAGAGGAAGGAGAGGAAGGAGAAGAGGAAGAAGGAGAAGATCTTAAACTTCCATCTAGTAGTTTGGTACCCCAGAAGCCTGAAGCTAGAGGTAGAGGCGATCTGGTGCCCTCCACGAGATTTCGGATGGCCGATGCGCTCCATCCCTTCCTCCACTGGCTCCCCTTCCATCCCCTCCGGAGCTTCCCGGCAAGGGACAGGCTCCCTTACCGGCCTCCTTGAGCAACCGGAGCCCCCTCTTGGCCACCTGCAGCGGCAGGACGAACGAGGTCTTGGCGGTGTGGAAGCAGAAGCCGCACTTGTAGTTGCACTGCCGGGTGAAGTGGTAGTTGACGCTCAGCGGCACCGGCGGACGAAGCGCAGCGGGCGGCTCCGGAGCTGAGCTCGGGGAGACTCTCCGTCGGAGCGGCCCCCAAAGGCCGAGGACCGCCAGCCGGCTGCAGAGAACGCCCAGGGCTTGGAGCAGGAGACGGAGGAGCTGGCGGGGAGGAGGCAAGTGCATCGCGGTGCCTTCGCTGGGCTTCTGCGTGGGGATTGCGGCGTTGGAGGGGAGAGCGCGGCTTTTGAACGGCCAGATGACGGCGGGGATGGGATGACCGCCGCTCGGCTGATCCAAGTTTCGGTTTCCTTTACGTGGAAAGTGCTCGGTGTCGTTCAAGGTGGCTAGACTCGCGGCGCCCTTGGTGGGTGGGTGTGCTGTGTGCTGTGTGCTGCCAGGCGGAGTTCCCAGAGGAGATGCTAGAGGAAACGGGACCAGTTTAAGAAGCTGGAAGTGGGCAGCGTTTTAGGACTTGAAGACCTGAAGGTTTCAGACCAGGGGTCCCCAAACTTTCCAACTTTAAGACTTGTGTACTTATATACAAAATAAATCTGGGACTAAGAAATTCCAGATAGCTTATGATTAAGGTCAGGACCGATATAAATTGTTTAAAGCTAGCCTAGCAAGGAGGAAAGTTTGGG